AACAAAGATGAAAATCAGCCTCGTTCATGTTATAAACTCTTAGCAGACTAGAGCTAGAGAACTTTTTTTAATGACATAGAAGATTCCAAAAAAAAAAAAACAAATCCAAAACCCAAACAACCAAAAACCATACACAAAACACAACACAACAACTATATAGCATGCTTAATTATGAAATGTTCACCTAGTTCCCTCCAGGTCGAGAGACAAAGCGTTGGCGCTTGCGATGCCCCCACCAGCATTGTTACTGAATGTAGTGCTAGGAGTTCTAGTCAATGCAGTGAGGGGGCAAGAGAAAGAAAGAAACGGTGGAACTGCTGAAATAAATAAAACCGGCATTACACTTAGATGGTATGACTGTGCAAATAATCTATCCATAGATTCTTTTGGATTTTTAAGAAAAGTTTGAGGTGTGACTATAAAACAGTATTTTCAAAAATCAACACCATATGCTAACCAACAACACTTACACAGTGTAATTAATAGCAAAACTGTATGTAATAGAATTAAGAAACTAAATTCCTAAATTAAATCTGACAAAAAACAGACCTCTTGGAGGAAAATTGTGATGCCTAATGAGAGAATATGTGTGTATGTCAGAGTATGTTGTAACTTGAAATCTAATTTTAAAATTTTAATGGAAATACAAATTGCAGTTGACCTTTGAACAGCACAGATTCAGACTGCATAGGTCCACTTCCGTGTGGATGTTTTTCCATGGTAAATGCAGTGCCACATGGTCCATGGTTGGTTGAATGCACTGATGCAGAGGAACCAGGGATGTGGAGGGCCTACTGCAAGTTATATACAGATTATCCCCACGTTGCTAAAGGGACAAGCGTATCTAGAATAACCCAGACATTCTTCTTTTGTTGAAGTAATTAATTTACAGGATTGTATTATTTTCAGGTGTACAACGTAGCGATTCAATATTTTATAGATTGTACTCTATTTAAATGTATTACAAAATAACGACTGCATTTCCCTGTGCTGTACAATGTATTCTTGCTGCTCATCTATTTTATACACAGTAGTTTGTATCTCTTAATCCCTTACCAAGACATTCCTGAAAAAGAACAAGATGGGATGACTTGGCCTCCTAGGTATGGAGAGTTACTACAAAGCCATAGTAACTAAGACGTGCTCACTGGTACAGGGATAGCCAAATCAGAGAACAGAATAGAGAGCCCACATCGGACTCACACACATACGGACACTACTTCTGATCACTGAGGAAAGGACAGCTTTTTAGATAAACTGTCCTGGAGCGATGGGGGACCTTTATAGTAAAAGGCAATTCAGAACCCTGTGTTTCATTGTACACAAAAGAATAAACATTAATTCCAGGTGGATTAATAAGCTGAATGTGAAAGGTAAAACTATAAAGCTTTTAAAAGCTTTAGAAGATAATATAGGAGGTTGTTATTATCACGTCAGAGTTGGGAAAGATTTCTTAAAGAGGAAATAAAAAGCACAGTAAGAAAAGATGGATAAATTGGACTACATTAAAATGAAGAACTTGGGGTTATCAAAAGATGCCATGACGAGAATGAGAAAGTAGACTCCGAGCAGAAGATAATTGTAACATGCAGCTGAAATATGGTAGTGTCCAAATGTCTGAAGAATGAATCAACAACCTTTATCTTTAAGGTGCGGATAAGGGAGAAGATGTGATGGGGAAGAAATACACTGAGGCAAGCCTTTGTATGGTTTCAAATGTTTGCATTCTCTTCTCTAAACTGAACTTGTGTTTTATGCATTTATCTATAAATAAGCACGTTTCTTAAAAAAATGGGAAGAAATGAAAATGTTAAAGAAATATAGTTATTGTAATAGTTTTCTAGGGCTGACATAACAAAATTCTACAGAGTGGGGGCCTTAAACAACAGAAATTCATTTTCTTATGCTTCCAGAGGCCAGTAGTCCAAGGTCACGCTGTCAGCAGATTTGGTTTCTCTGGAGGCCTCTCTCCTGGCTTGCAGAAGCCACCTTGTCATTGTGTCCTCACGTAGCCTTTCCTCTGTGCTTGAGCATCTGAGGTGGTTCCTTGTGTTTCTAAATTTTCTCTTGTAAGGATACCAGTCAGACTGAATTAGTGCTCACTCAAGGGCCGCATTTTAACTTAATCTTTTTAAAGGCCCTGTCTCCAAATGCTGTCACATTCTGAAGTACTGGAGGGTTAGGACTTCAACATATGAATTTTTGGAAAGACACGGTTTAGCTATAACACTGGTTATGTGGTAAAGAACTTGAATAGTAAATGGGTAGTTGTGATTTAGATAAAATTTCCCAAGCCAATTTTTGGATTCAAAAAGTGCTATATCTAAAAAAATTCTAAGATAAAAATAAAGATGTTGTGCTCTGGAGAACTGTGTTAAATCATTCAAAATACAGATTTAGTACTGATGTTAAGTATGTGTGTACAGTTGGAATACATTTGTTTTTGAAAATGTAAGAATGATAAAAAGTAATTTCTAAAGTATTTTACTCTTTTACACAAATATTCTTACACATAAATGTATATAGCCAAGTGAATAATGTAAGCAGTTCTTTTAGTCTCATCTTCATCCCTAAAATTTATGAATTCTAGTTGGCAGAAATTTAAAAAAATCTTTTCACCAGAGGAAAAGAAGATGCATTTATTTGGTCATATATGACATAGATCTTGACTGACAGTGGGGTTACACCCTCATAAACCCATCCT